CTTTCATTTTTCCGTGGGTATACGTTTAAAAATTTTATTTGTCCTTTGAAAATTTCATACATGTATACAATGTATTTTGATTATATCCAGTCTTTACTCCATTGTCCAACTGTCTCCAGAATCCCCATCACATCTCCCTCCCAAGTTCATGTCCTCCTTTAAAAGAACTATATTATTTATTATTTTTATGTTGTTCATGAGTGTATTGCCTGCATGTGTGTAAGTTCACTTGTGTCATGCAATGACCATGGAGGTCAGAAGAGAGTGTCAGATCACCTGGAACTGGAGTTAGGATGGGTTTTAGCCATCATGTGGGTGCTGGGAATGGAACCCGGGTCCTCTGCAAGAGCAGTGAGTATTCTTAACCGCTGAGCCATCTCTCCAGCCCTTTTATCTTTCTTTTTCTCTTTCTTTCTTTCTTTCTTTCTTTCTTTCTTTCTTTCTTTCTTTCTTTCTTTCTTTCTTTCTTTCTTTCTTTCCTTCCTTCCTTCTCCCTCCCTGCTCAAGCTGGCCTTGAATTACCTAATCCTCCTGTCTCAGCCTCCCTAATGCTGGGTTTTAAGCATGAGCCACCACACTCCCTCCATCCCTCCCTCCCTTTCTTTTCTTTCACCTTTCTTTCATTCACCCAGTTAGTGCTGCTCATATGTGCATGGGTGTGGGGTCATTCACTGGGGCATGAGGAACCTACAAGTGGTCATACTCCTAAAACAATGACTCCCCCCACCCCCAGAAGCCATCAGTTGCCAATAGTTCCTCACTCATAGGACAGCAATCTACATCTGGTTGACCTGATGTTTCCTGGTGATTTAGGTCAGTGGTTAAAGTCTGTACTTCAGTATATTCCCATTAATTTTGAGCATGCATGTGTTTTCGGCTACAAGGTGTTATGAAACTCAGCTTGGGCTTCCCAGGCTTGTAATCTGCTTTTTCCTTAGAGAGCCTGGGCTCCCACAATGAAAAATGGTATCCATAGGCCAAGAACTAGTTGTGCTTATTTCTGGTAGAACATCACTGTTGGGTAATAGGAATGTTTTTTCTCTCTCTCTCTTCTCTCCTCTCCACCCTCTGACATTTTCATTGACTACCTATTTAGAAGCACATGACTTTACACTGAAATACCCCATTCTACCCTGACTTCATAGAGGTTCATTCCAGTTTCTTCCTTTCTGAATTTGACTCCTTTTACTATGTAAAAGTCAGAAGCTGGGCTTCCACTGTTCTTTATTATTATTATTATTATTATTATTATCATCATCATCATCATCATCATCATCATCATTATTTTTGGTCTTGTGTATGAGCATATTGCCTGCATGTATGTAAGTGCATCAATGTTATGCAGTGCCAGCAGAGGTCAGAAGAAGGTGTTGGATCCCATGGAACTGGAGTTACAGATGGTTGTTAGCTGCCATATGAGTGCTAGGAATTGAACCTGGGTCTTCTGCAAGAGCGACTAGTGCTGTTAACTGCTGGGCCATCACTCTAGCCCCCACTATTCTTTTTTAAAAAATATTTTATTCATTTTTGTTTTGTTTTATTCATTTTAGTTGCTGTGATAAGAACACTGACCAATGCAACTTATAGAAGGGAGAGTTTATTTAGCTTACACTTCCAGAGGGTTAGAGTCCATCATCTGAAGAAGGAGTAGAAAGCTGTGGGATCACATATTCAAGCAGATACAGGAAGGAGAGAGACAGACAATCTGGCAAGCCTTAAAGAACTCTAAAAGGCCACCCCTAGTAATGTGCTTCCTCCAGCATGGCCAAAACCCCTAAAAGTTCCATGACCCTGCCCAAACAGTGCCAAAAACCATGGACCAAGTGTTCAAAGCCCGGACTATGGGGGAACATTCTCATTTAAACCACCACAATGTGTATGAATGGTTTGCCTGCGTATATGTAAGTGTGCCTCATGCCAGCAACACCTGCAGAGGCCAGAAGAGGGCATCCCTGGAACTGGAGTTAAGAACAGTTATTAGCTGCCGTATGAGTACTGGGAACTGAACCCAGGTCCTCTGCAAGAGTGGCTGGTGTTCTTAACCATTGAGCCATCTCTTCAGCCCCTGATCAGTTCTTTTTTTTCCCCACTGAATATACTCATTGCACTTAGTACTGGGTTTCTTAGGAATATGAAGTATATAACATACTTTGATCATGCTTCCTCTCATACCTTCCCCCTGTTCATAGCTCCCCTTCTTTTATTATCAATTCTTTTTTAAAAAAGATTTATTTTATTCTTATTTACGTGTGTGTGTGTGTGTGTGTGTGTGTGTGTGTGTGTGCATGCATGCAGCTGTGGGGGCCAGAAGAGGGTGTTGGCTCCTCTGGAGCTGGAGTTGTATGGGGTCGTGAACTGTCTGATGTGGATGCTGGGAACTGAAGTGCAGCAAGTGTGCCTAACCACTAAGCCATCTTGCCAGCCCTCTTTTTGAAAGTAATATTTTTTATTTATTCTGTGAAAATTTCAAACATGTATGCAGTGTCTTCTGATCATTTTTTAAGTTATTATTTTTATTTTGTGTGTATGAGTGTATTTCCTGCATGTATGTGAATGTACCCATGTCATGCAATGCTGCGGAGGTCAGAGAGGACATGGGATCCCCTGGAACTGGAGTTAAGGACGGTTCGTAGCCACCATGTGGGTGCTGGGAATCAAACCCAGGTCCTCTGCAAGAGCAGTCAGTGCTCTTTACCACTAAGACATCTCTCCAGCCCCTCTTCTGATCATTTTTATAGATCCAACTTCCCCCACCTCTTCCCACTCACAGATGCTTTCTCACTTAACCTGGGTTCTCGACACCTCACTGCAGCAAAAGCTGTTTGAGTAAGGACATCCCTCGTGTAGGCCAGGCCCCATCTCTAGACACCTTCTCCAACCTACTGAGTCTCACTTGGAGCCACCACGATTCCCTCTTCTACAATATGTGGCCATCTTGATGTGTTCTATCCAATGGTTTTAGACTCAGTGACTCAGGAAGGGAATGGAAGGATAGAATCTGAAAAGGAAGAACCCTGTGAAGCTTCTGATAGCAAAAGAAACTGCCTAACACTTCTAACTTGGCTGCTCAAGTAACTTATGACTCAATTATTTTTCCGTTTTCTGTTTTAGAACAGCAGAGCGTTCAAGATGGATTTTGTCTTAATTTCTTTTCCTGTTGTTGGGATAAAATATCCTGAAAGAAGGAATTGAAGGGAGAATGGGATTATTCTGGCTCAAACAAAGGGTACAGTCCATCATGGAGGGGGAGTCAAGGCAGCAAGAGCTTGAAGCAGCTGGTCACATGACATCCGCAGTCAGGAACAGAGGTCAATGAATGGTGCTGCCCAGCTCCCTTCTCCATGTACACAGCTCAGGGTCCCAGCCAGGGAATGGTGCCCCCACAGTGGGTAAGTCTTCCCACCTCAGTTAACCTAATGAAGAAAATTCTTCATAGGCATGCCGAGAGGCCTATCTACCAGGAGATTTTTACATTCTGTGAAGTTGACAATTAACACTAACCATCACAGATTCCAAAGAAGTGTAAGAAAACATGGCCGTCCAGAAATGTAAGGGGAGGGGAAGAAGATGATTGATCAAACCTAATAATAAGAATATTAGCACCTCACTTGAGTTATATTTAAAAATGTCTCAAAAGTGACAGAATTAAACTCTGAGTTTCTCAGGCAATGTGCCAAAGTGGATCAAAATCATCAAACTGTGACAATCAAATGGAGATCAAAATAGGCTTACACCAAAAGTGAATACAGTGATCAGATGGAGAGATGGTTCAGTGGGTTTGTTTTTACAGATACAGTATTTTAGTATTTACCTCCATGAATGTGTGTAAAGACATCATAAATTTCCAGAAAGATATATTTATTAATATTCTCAATATCATAAAATATCACAAAGAACGACTGGAGAGATGGCTCAGCAGTTAAGAGCACTGACTGCTTTTGCAGAGGACCTGGGTTCGATTCCCAGCACCCACATGACAGCTACGAACCATCCTTAACTCCAGTTCCAGGGGAATCCAAAGCCCTCTTTGGACCTCCTTGGCATTGCATGACACGTGCACTCACCTACATATAGGCAATACACTCACACACATGAAATAAAAATAATAAATAAAATATTTAAAAATATCATAAAGAACACATAGATAAACACTTACTATCAGAGTCACCACAGTTCTTCCCATTTTATTAACAATGACTGATAAAATTACAGAGAAATGCTTACTACAGTCAGAGCTCAGAACTGATGAAGCGAACCGGAATGAATGGAGATGATATCTTGAGAGGAAAAGAAGATGACTCTCCATATCTGCCATTGACTTCATCATTTTTTTTTGGTCTTTTTGAGACAGGGTCTCCCTGTAGCCCCAGCTGGCTTGGAACTCACTATGTAGACCAGGCTGGCCTTGAACTCACGAATTCACAAAGAACCGCCTGCCTCTGCCTCCCAAGTGCTGGGATTAAAGGCATGTGCCACCACGCCTGGCCATCATTCTTTTAAATCAACAGTAGAGGCTAGTCTGCACAGATACTGAGCAAGCTCAATAAATTACTGAGTACCTGATCATACATCAAAGGCAGTTGGTTAGGTGTATTCTATCTTGATTTCATTAAAAAGCAAATTGAGCCCGGCGTGGTGGCGCACGCCTTTAATCCCAGCACTTGGGAGGCAGAGGCAGGCGGTTCTTTGTGAATTCGTGAGTTCAAGGCCAGCCTGGTCTACATAGTGAGTTCCAGGACAGCTGGGGCTACAAGGAGACCCTATCTCAAAAAGACCAAAAGAAAAAAAAAAGCAAATAGAATTCTCTGGTGTTCAGTGACACAGCCTCCTTGGAGAACACAGCAGAAATCCTGAGGGGATATTCATGCTCCATTTGTGGTTTTATCTCTTGACAGCATGTTTAGGATGATGGGATTTTCTGGCTGCAAAAGTGGTTGGCTGCTTAATTTCAGGGGAATCTGCAGGAGAGGAACAAGCACAGTGAAAAACAATAAATATACTGCCAGCAATCACAGAGACAAAGCAGAAGAGACACATTAAGGACAAAGATGCCTTACAAACATGAACTATATCACATATTCGTGTCCTATATCTTGAATTCTTTATATGTATATATTCATTGAGACTGTATAGTGAAAACATCCCTTTATCTGTATATTCAATAAAATAGTTATTGAATATCTTTTGTATATAGAGCCCAAGAAAAAAAATCTCATTTAATTATGTTCTTTATTGATTCAAAATTTAATTGGAAAGTTTGAGTTTTTAATTTTTAGACCACATTTTGGGTATATGGAAAACCATTTTTGAAGGCTATAGGAAATTAATTTTATGTTCATTGAAACTTGCAAGGTAATCCTGAGTAGGTAGCTCTCACACATCTACTGGGAGGACTCCGCTTCTAAGGTACCTGGACACCATCCAGTTTAATGATGGGGAAATGCCTTTAGGAAGCACTGTGTGTTGTTCCCTTCCATCGTCTCTTAGCTTCCAAGGATGGTGAAAATGGGAAACTTTTGAGTCACTCTGTTTTCACTAATCATTTTGCCCCAGTCTCTCCAGTCTTGTGGAGATGGAGGAGCCTCCAAATGAGTAATTTGATCACAATAGTGAAGAGAAAGTAAATTGTCATGGGAAGAGTATAAGATTATGGGGGACCCAAGCCTGCCAGGTGTCCCAGAGGCCTGCTTGATTTTGAGACTAAATGCTCTGTCTGTTCGTCTGTGTAAACTCCTGCACATACTCACAGGACAGTTATCCTGCAGCCCTGGACCTATCCTCCTACCTCCCATGAAGAAAGACAACTGAACAAGAAGGGGCTGCATATTACATGCACAAGTCTTAGAGCCTATGCCTGTCTGTCAATATTTTATTTAGTATGTCCACTAATTAATTTAAGGACAACACATATTTGTCTTTAAGTTTTTCAGGGGAGATATTTCAAGACTTCCTCTAAATGTAGTCTCTTATTATTTCAAAATTTCCAACAACATGTATGTGTTTTCTCTGAAGATACAGAAAGCTATCTATATATATCCATATTCATATACACAAATGACATTAGTTAAAAACTTAAAAATTGATGGGTGTGGTGGTGCGAGCCTTTAACCCCAGCACTGAGGAGGCAGAGGGAAGGGGGTTTATGTAAGATTTAGGCCAGCCTGGTCTACAGAGCGAGTTCCAGGCCAACTGAGGCTATAGGAAGACCCTGTCTCAAAAAAATTAAAAATAAAAATAGATGAAAATTTGCACTTAAAAACACCAAAAACTGGCGAGCACTCCTTCAAGTACAACGAAGAATTTCACTTGTACACTCCCCAGCAAAACACCATTGGTTTACATAAGGAGTAAAATGAATGAAATACAAGGACTTTGAGGATTCTTCAAGCCAGAGCAAACAGAGAATCAAAGTGAGCAGTTTAGTGATGAAATATTGACTTAAATGATGAAAAGAGCCCTTGGGAACCAATAACGGGGAAGAGGAACAAATGGGCCCTGGTAAGATGGAGAAAGCCTCTCTCAGTGGTTTGGGCATTGATTTGAACTTGAATTATAGTGAAGAGGAGAGCTGGAAGAATACACATGAACTTATGAAAACGCAGAATGGGACCCAGTTTTTCTGAAGCAAAACCCTTGAAATGTGAGAGCAAAGGGTTTCAATTGCCTTGAATGGTCAGAGTTCTTCATATCTCCTAATACTCCAAATTAGTGATTCTCAGTGTCGGTTGTACATGGGAAACAGTGTGCAGTTTTTAGGGCCACATTCTGAGTGAAATAGTAAAACTCCTTGGTATTTTCAAAGCATAGCCAGTGTTTGAAATCTCTTGATACCTGAGGGCCTCTGTTAAGTCTTGGTGAAGGCCACCATTCATAAACCATGACAAGGTGATCATTGCATCTATGAGTGTGCACAACAGTCCCCCATGTCCAGGTGAGTTGTGCTCAGTTTCGAGGAGATTGCATACAATCATGTTATGCTAGTCTGCATCAACGGGGCATAATTTCTCTATTTGTGCCTTATTTGGGCACAGATTTATACCTCCAGAACAGAAGGAGCTTAAAGCTCATACCTGACTTCAAACATATTTTTTGTCCCATACATTATTAAACTGAATGATCAGTTTCTTTTCTGTTTAAAGGCTTAAGTTTAAGAAAAGCCGAAATATTATTTACAGAGGAAGTTTTCTTCCTCACCTCTGTTTTTTTACAAGGTTGAACAGAGAAGGTCTGCAGGACTCTGATGACAGCGAGTTTCATGTTCATGAGCGCAAACCTCATGCCAATGCAGTTCCGGGGTCCATTTCCGAAGGGCAGGTACACGTAAGGATTAGATGTTGTCCTTGTTCTTCTTGCTGAACCTGGGGACAAAAAGGCGGATGAAAACAAGTTAACAAAGATAAAGACCACAAGTGTTGCATGTTTGGAGTTGTCACTTACAACTCTCAGCCAAGATCATGCAGGGTACATTTGTGGGCCTGGCACTAAAACTCTACTGCAAGTATCTGACTGTAAGATTCGTAACCTGACATCCCTTCCCTCTCCTACCAAAATGTGGGAGCTCCCTACATTTTGGTTGAGGTGAATTCTCTTTGAGAGGAAACACATCTTTAAACACATAATTCCATTCAGCATGGTGATATGTTCTTGCTCTGAAAGACACACTGGAAGGAGACAAGTTGAAGGGACAGTGGGTGCCTCACGCTTAGGCTGGTCATTTGCTCACTGGGGAGAAAGTGAAGCGTCACTATTGAAATGCCGTTTTCCCTCCCCTTCGCCCCTCCTCTCTTTTCACTCCATTCTTTGCAGCTCTCCTCATCCTTACTCTCCTTGTCATCTTCCTCTCATTCCTCTTTCTCAGAATCTCTTTTGTTTTCTGTCCATTAACGTGGTCAAAGTCAGGTAGTTTCTAGGGTAAAGGAAGCATCTCTCCTGTATCACCACAACTGTCTTCCCATGTCTACCTTCTCCACTGAGCGTGTTGATTTGAATTAATTCAAATTCGACGTCCCATAAGTTGATTGTATAAGTGAAAAAAATAGATTTTGAAGTGGCAAGGACCTCATAATTGTGTGCTTTAAAATTTTTTGTACTCTGGGAAAATATGAAGTATTTACACATGATATAGTATGAAAGAGCATGGGCGTGGGGACAGTTTGGGTTGTGTGTGGATACGGTGCTCATATGGGTGGAGGGTTGCTGGGGAAAATGATAAACAGGAGATACATACAATGTGTGTACAGGGCTTGGGAGATGACCCACATGATAAGGCACTTGTATTGGAAGTGTGAGAACCTGAGTTTCATCCTGAAAACCCCCACAGAAAGCTGGACATGGTGGTGTGTGCCTGTAATCCCAGCAACAATCACATGGGAGATGGAGACAAACTGGATCCCTGGGTCTCACTGTCCATCTCCTCTAGCCTACTTGGTGAAGTTCAAGGCCAATGACAGACCCTGTCTCAAACAAAAGATGGAACATCCTAGGTTGTCTTCTGACCTCCAATACATACAGGTGCTCATCCATGTGTGGACACATGCCTCTATACATATGCACCCCCAAGAAACACACATAAATGTGCACCCCCTACAAACACACATGTGCACTCCTACAAGGGACTATAAAGTATTGTGATGTAGATTACACTGAAGTATAGGTCAAGTATTCTACACAGTGTTAACGCTCAAATTTCTCAATGATTGGTCCAGTCCTGACATGTGGTAAGCACTTACTGTTTGATGACTGCACGAATCATAGAGAACTACAGCCACAGGTCTCTGAATTTCAGTTGTGAACTTACAGGGGGTGGGGAAACTGAGGCTGGAGAGAACACACAGATTCTCTGGTTGAGAAAAGAGAGGAATCGGTCAACTGATTCCCAAAAGTATACTGTGCAGACATAAGGTTGGCACTAAGAACATCACTGCTAACAAGACAAGGCCCCTGACACATAGAAATGTAGGGTGAATGGGCAATGGAAGTCTGACTCCAAGTCCTACTCATCAGTCTTAAATTTTATTCCCTATTTTGCTTTCTAATCCAACAAGGAAACACCAACTATTTCTAAACTAAAACTGTGCCTGATGTCTGACCTTGACAATTACAAGAAAGCTCAGGTTGTCTAAAAGGAAGAATGTCTCAGACATCTAGAGGCAGGTGACCTGGGCTTTAGAGTCACCAGTCATGGAGATTGTTTAGAAGCTGGCCTGAGACAGGACTGGCAGCACCCATGGTCTCCTCTGTCCTTATGGAGGCTACTTGACCCATCTGGGAGGGGGACTTCAAGGTCTCCACATATACATTTACACTTACATTGGAGGATCCAGGAAGAAATTCCTAATCAAATGGATGATGGAAACATTTATTAAAGCTGATGATAGGGCTGACCAGATGACTCAACAGGTAAAGGTGCTGACAGACAAGCCTGATGTCTTGAGTTTGATTCCTAGGACCTACATGGTGGAAGGAGTGAACTGGCTCTCACAAACTGTCCTCTGACTTCCACACGTTATGTGCTATGACACTTGTGCACACACACACACACACACACACAAATGAATATCATTAAGATATTCTAAAGCTAGTGATAAATTCAGGGAGCTTGGGAATATCATAGAATCCTTGAAAAAAAAATCCACACTTCTAAAATTACATAGTGCTTAAGTAAATTACAGGAGACTAAGGTCACTAAATAAGATACAACTATTATGAGTTAAAGTAAATCACAGGAGACCAAGGTCACTAAATAAGACACAACTATTATGACATAGTGGATAGGGTATAATTCGCTTTAAGTAAATAGTGATTCAAAATACAACTAAAATTATGCTATACTAGGTTTCATAGACATATGTACATGAGGACCCACGCCACCTTATTAATATTAACTAATATTAATATTTTGGGACTCTGGGTGGTCATATATTTATTTTTTCTGGTCTTTTTGTTCAACTTCAACAATAATCATCATTTCATAAATTTTTAAAAAAGTTTTAATTCCAGGAGCTGGAGAGATGCCTCAGTGGTTAAGAGCATTTGCTGCCCTTGCAGAGGACCCATGTTCAGTTCCCAGCACCCAAGATGGGCAGCTCACAATCTCCTGCAACTCCAGATGCAGGGGCTCTGATACCCTCTCCTGGTCTGCACAGGTGCTGCACTCACGTGCCCATAACCATACATAGACATACACATAAAAAAACTGTAATTCCAAAAAGACAGATGCAAAGGAATACAAAATCACATGTATGTCATTTCCAGGAAGACATGCTAATAAGTTTGAACCTTCCTGTTCATGTGAGAATGCCCCTCCTGAGTCTCTGTACCTTTCAGGGCAGAATTCCTCAGGCTCGGGCCAGTACTCTGGGTCCCGATGAAGAGGATATGTTGGTATCATCATTACGGTCCCTTTGGGAATGAACACTCCATTGATTTCAACATCTTTCTTACAGACCCTCTCTAGTCTGTTAGCAATGGGGTACAGTCTGAGACATTCATTCACCACCATATCCAGGTACTCCATCGCCATCAGGGCATCATAGGTGACGGGGGCCTGGGAAGAAGAACAGATTTTCCTCATATGAGGTTTAGAATGAACATTTTCTTTTTGGTCTTCTTGAGAGAGGGTTTCCCTGTAGCCCTAGCTGGCCTGTACTTTCTATGTAGACCAGGCTGGCCTTGAACTCACCTGCCTCTGCTTCCTGAGCGCTGGGATTAAAGGTGTGTTCCACCACACCCGGGTGTAGAATGAACATTTAATTCAGTTTGTACAGTGCTGTTATATTGTTAGAAGCTCCAGAGTTTACCACTGATTAGTAGGAACTCTTAGTCTTAATCATTTTATATCTATAATGATTTTTAAATTTTTTATTTATTTTATTTTATGTGTATGAGTATTTTGCCTGCATGTATATAAGTGTACCCATGTGTACAAGGCCTGTGGAGGCCCAAAGAGGGTGTTGGATACCCTGAACTGGAGTTATGGTCAGTTGTTAACTACTGTGTGGGTCCTGGGAACTGAACCTGGGTCCTCTGCAAGAGCAGCCAGTGCTCTTAACCACTGAGCCATCTCTCCTGCCCTCAAGCTTGGTTTTTAACCTGAGTTCTGGGAATTTGAGCTCAGGTCCTCATGCTTGTGCAGCAAGCAGCTTTCACACTGAGCCATCTCCCCAGTCCCTATCATAACCTTTGACATGATCATAGCCCGTTGGGCTGTGAGGTATGGTTATGAATAAAGGAGACATCTGGGACAGTCCCCTGCCCATCCTTAAATCCCCAGCATTGTCACATTCTGATTTTTCTTGCCCATATGAGCATAGATGACTAACACATTACAATTACATTCAAGCAAAGTATACTAAAGTTGCTGTCTCATCTCCATAGAGACCATAAGCCTATAGCAAGGGAATATGTCACTGAAAGGAATAAGCTCCTTACTTATAATCCACATTAGGTTTTACAGTCGTGCTCTTAACCACTGAGCCATCTCTCCTGCCCTCAAGCTTGGTTTTTAACCTGAGTTCTGGGAATTTGAGCTCAGGTCCTCATGCTTGTACAGCAAGCAGCTTTCACACTGAGCCATCTCCCCAGTCCCTATCATAACCTTTGACATGATCATAGCCCGTTGGGCTGTGAGGTATGGTTATGAATAAAGGAGACATCTGGGACAGTCCCCTGCCCATCCTTAAATCCCCAGCATTGTCACATTCTGATTTTTCTTGCCCATATGAGCATAGATGACTAACACATTACAATTACATTCAAGCAAAGTATACTAAAGTTGCTGTCTCATCTCCATAGAGACCATAAGCCTATAGCAAGGGAATATGTCACTGAAAGGAATAAGCTCCTTACTTATAATCCACATTAGGTTTTACAGTCTCTGCTTGGTAGCTCCTTTGATTATAGGTGTCAAGGCCAGTTCAATGAAAATTTATAATGAAGAATTCTGGGTAAGATGGCAGACCTGGTGCTGCCTCCGTGTGCCCGATGAAGATAGAAACTTAGTATGAGAAAACAAACGTCTTCCAAAGATAGAAAGAGAGGAAGAGCTTCAGAAATTCACAAAGGAAGTGTTAGGACAGCTGACATATGTGACAGAATAGATGGATGACTCAGGGAAAAGGAGCCAAACTGAACACAGCTCCAGCTGCCTAGCTCCTCAGTTGGGGGACAGTAAGCCCCTCCACAAGGTAAACAAGCAGGAGCTGGTTAACCGAGACTGGGAGTCCTACTATCAAGACAAGCCCCGAACCCTCACATGCCTCAAAACCGATGCAGATTTGGGTGAGACAATGATTCCGCCAGCAATGGAGAGAATTGGGTCTGACTCAGAGAACCTATTGTTGGAAACTGAGCTCCTGATGGGGCCAGAGAATGGAAATAACGGCAAGGCAGGGAGCCTGAATTCACAAGCCTTAGGGCAAGAGTCAGCTCTGGGTGACAGATGTAGAGAGTGGGAGGGCCAGATACAGACAAACTGTAAAGTACAGGTGACAGGAGGCTGAGGAAGGACCTAGAGCAAGACCTCATCAACTGAGGATAACTCTGGAGTTTGACAATTCTGTGCTTCAGTTCCATCGTCTCTGGAGCCACCTTTCTACTATCCCCTGCTGTAGAACCCCAAACTCTAACTCCAGTGGTCTACTTGATAGCCATCTACAGCTGCATCCTTCCAGCAGGGGGAGACAATGCTCAGGGGGTATTGGAAACATACAAGCAGGTATTCCACCGAACAAACCAAAGTGCTGTGGCTGCTTCTCACAAAACGGAGGGCTAAAGTGGCAGTCACTTAGGGAATATGAACTGGAGAGTCTCAGTGAGGAGAGAACCCGACTAGGCCATAAAGCTATATTGGGCCAGCAGAGGCACTGGTAAGCAAGGGAACTACTAACATGATGGTGGCACTTGGGGACATCAGACTCCACTCCAATACAGCCTCAACACTAGCATAAAAACTGGAAAGACAAGGGTCCTGAAGTTCAACCGACTTCTCTGCTGTGCACACAGTGGGCTAACGGGCAGTCTCCAGTTTCTGAAGGTACAGAAAGATGCTCCAACACTATTTTTTGACTCTATCTGTTCCCCCTTTCTCTTTTTGTGACAGTTTTAGCAGCACTGTTTTCACGGCTTTTAAAAGTATGTTTTCCTCACAGATATCCAAACCCACATGCATAAACTGCATCATAGAAACAAAAGAAATATGAAAAAAACAAGGTAATACGACTCCTCTGAAGATCGTGGCTCTTGAACAACTGAATTCAAAGAGAGTGAAATAGAATAAAGTGCTGGATTAAAGTTTTTACTAGCAAAACTGATCAAGGATCCCGATGTGGATATTAACAAGCAGATGAATTCAGTCTAGGTCTTGGAAAGAAGAGTCAGCAATGAAGAAAAAAGTAGCAAAATGATGGTAAAAATCAAACACATATAGACACCACAGAAGAAAAATTTGGCAAGAAACTTGAAATTTTGCAAGCAAAAGAGAACTGTTTGAAATCAAATGGTTATCAGGAAAAGAAATAGTTGTGAATGCTGGTGCTGGTGGGATTATAAATTGGTGCAGCCACCACGGAAGTCAGTGTGGAGATTCCTCCACATACAAATACCTGAACTATCATGTGACCCAGCTTTGCTATCCCTGTGTATAAGCTGGAAAGACTCTAAGTCAACATACCACAGAGATACTTGCAAATATGTTTATAGTTGCACTGTTCACCATAGCTAAGATATGGAACTAGCCTTGATATCCAACTATAGAGTATATGAGCAGCACAAACTGAACTCAGTGTGTTATTAAAAACAACAAAGAAAAGAGGTCATGAATTTGGGGGCAGTGCAGGGAGGTAGAGGGTGGACCTGGGAGGACTTTTATGGGGATGAGTGGAGGGGTGAATATGATCAAAATACGTTATATAAAAATTTCAAAGAATTCACAAAAATGGCATAGGACTGGAGACATGGTTCACTGGTTAAGAGCACTGGCTGCTGAGGACCTGGGTTTGGATCCCGGAACGCACATGGCAGCTTACAATTGTCTATAACTCCAGTTCCAGCAGATCCAATACCTCTTCTGACCTCCACAGGCATTGCACATATGGGTGCAATTACATACATGCAGGCAAAACACTCATACACATAAAATAAAAGTAATACATAAAATCTTTAAAAATAGTATGTTAAGGGACTGGAGAAATGGGTCAGCAGTTAAGAGTACTTGTTGCTCTTGTAGAGGACCCAGGTTCAGTTCCCAGCACCCACATGGTGACTTAACCATATATTACTTTAGTTTCAGGGGATCTGATGCTTTCTGCTGACCTCTGTGGGTACTGCACCCATGTGGTACACTTATATACATGCAGGTAAAAATACTCACATATGCAAATAAAAATAAACAAAGATTTTGACTTAGGAATAGAGACACTGGCTCACACCTTGTTCTTCACTTCTGGCTACAGACCAGGAGGGCAAAGTTATTTGGAGCAGCACTGGGTCAAAATGCCCAGACCAGAGAATGCCAGTTGCATTGGAAACAACCAGGATAGAGCACTTCCAGGAATATCAGCACAGTTAAGTGTCCAGACACTTGAGTGACTGATGCTTATTCTTAAACACCACACAGGTTTTCTGGGTGTTTCTTACTTGGTATTATTGTCATCATAGGTAACAGATACACCAGGGCCAGAACTGTATTAAAAGGGCATACATTTCTGTGGGTAGCATTCATGTCCTATGTAAGCCCCCTCGTTTCTCTTTTTAGATTCCTGCTGACTGGTGGAAAAAAAAAAAACATTGCTTAGTCTCTCAGCAAAGACACTCAATGCAAGGATGAGACATGCTCTTGTCAATCCTTCACCCTCCCTCGCTCTCTGGGTACCATCCACTCACCTTATTGGGCAGAGCTCTATCGATCTCACCCTGAAGTTTCTTCTGCACATGAGGGTGAGTGGCCAGAAAGTACATAATGAAGGAAATGGAGGTGCTTGTGGTTTCATAGCCAGCGAAAATGAAAACAACTGTTTGTGCCACCATCTCTACATCAGACAGAGCTGAAAGGAAAAGAATATTTCAGATGAGTAGGATCAAAGGGAAGAACATAGAAAAGCAATTCAGAGTCACACTGGGATTGGTTTCCACTCTAATATCTGTCTGATAGGCTAAATTATTTTAACTCAGGATGTTTCAAGATCTATACTACTGAGGCGCATCTGTTCTGTTATGTCAAACTCATGTCGTGACAGACTCATACCACAGTGTTATCATCACATACACTGGGTAAACATAAAAGTACTGTGATGGTTAACATTGCTTGTTAACTTGACAGGACCTAGAACCACCTAGGAGACAAGCTCTGGTATACCTTTGAAAGATTATCTAGATTAGGTTGCTTTCTGGGTACACCTGTGAGGGATTATCCTTATTAGGTTAATTGAGGTAGGAGGATCCACCTTTTTTTTTTTTTAAAACAAAAAGCAAAAACAAGATTCATTTTAGTTTATAAATGTGCATGTATGTATGTGGATGTATGTCATGTGAGTGTGGATTCCAGAGGAGATCAGAAGAGGGAGTCAGGTCCCCTGGAGCTGAAATTACTGGGTACTGGGGATTGAACCCAAGTCCTCTGGAAGAGCACCAGGTGCTCCTAACCATTGAGCCATCTCTCCAGTTCTGGAAGGCCCATCTTAATTGTGGGCAGCACCATCCTGTGGACGAGTTCCTGAACTGACTAAAAAGGAGAAAGTGAGCTGAGCACCAGTATTCATCTCTCTGCTTCCAGAAGGGGGGTGACTGGTAAATACAGGACAAGTGATAGAATTGGAAAGTCATCATTTTGTAGCTGTAATAGCAATAATGGTTTTCATCACAAAACATCCATAGATGATATCATAAAACCAGTGGATAAAAGAATAAAAAGAGCCAGGGGTGTTGGCTTTAGTCCCAGCATTCTGGAGGCAGAGGCAGAGGCAAGTGGATCTCTGTGAGATTGATGCCAGCCTGGCCTATATAGTGAGTTCCAGGCCAGCTGGGGCTACAAGGAGACCCTGTCTCAGAAAAAGAATAAAAAGAACAGGATATGTATAGTTTCTCAGAATCTATTTACTTAGCTCAGAAATAAAAATAAATTGTAGATTAAACTTGCACACACTGGCACCGAGTCTGCCCAGTGAATAGAACTACGTGATGGGATATTCATATGCAAATTTGAATAGGTGCATATGCAAATTTCTAGGCAGAGGTTCTGAATCAGTGGTACTGGAAGCCACTGAGTTTCAGCCTTTGTCCTGACAGAGGTGATCCAATGCCACTGAAGACTTCCATGCATGAAGTCTTTGTTCATGGTTGTCCACAGGTCTTGGTCACACTCATAACAAGTACACTTCCAGAAACTTCCTGTGGGTACCATATATATTATCCCTGTGGGTATCTTTTTGAAATTTGACAGAAATGCTGTAGAGGCCTGGAAAACCCTCTGCTCATGACCAGACCACAGCCTCCCTCTGAGCTTCCCTGTCCTCATGTCATGAAGCATACCAAGTTACCTTTACAGGACTTGTTGTCTCTGGAGTTCTGAGTGTTCATCATTAGCTGGAGAAAATCCACTCGGTTCTGGAAGCAGAAGGAGAAAATTTAAAGATGGACACTTAGTTGTAATGTCCAACTTGAAAGAGGGTGCAGAACTTCACCTCCCTTCTGATAGTAAGGCCCCTGAGTCTACAAGTGTGACAAGTGTGGCTGGAGTTAGGCATGAACAGAATCATCTGTCAACAACCCTGGGAACAGGGTCTTTGTTCCCCTTATCTAAGTTTCTGTAGCTTCTGAGCAGACGTCTGACCAGAGAGCTGCTGGCTCCTTCTCACTCACGCTTGCTCAGGAAGAACCCTTAAGCTTAACTTCCTGTTGTTCTATCCAAATTCTTAACCAATAGCTTCATAGGCTGATCTAATCTCATTTCCCGATCTCATTATAAAGTTTTGTGTGAACATCTTCCGACACTCCCAGAACACTACAAAATCCTAAGTGACATCACAGGTGCCCATCCTACCTCCCTGACCTGTAAACAGACTTGTACTAGCACCCAGGCCACATGCAGCAAAGCTAGGTTAGCAACTGGCCAACTCATTGGAGAGAGAAAACACCCACCTACAGGCTGACTGGGCAGGTTTCAGTGTTACTGTCAAGAAAATACCCTAGTCCAAGGCAAGAGGGGCTCAAATTTAACACAGACCGAACTCCACCAGACCTGATCGTACCTTCCGTTGGAGAATGTGCCAAATAAGAAGCTTAGATATGAAACGATTTTTTCATAATATGAGCTTTAAGGGCAGGAGAACAGCATCGAATTCTTTTTTTTTTTTTTTTTTTTTTTTTTTTTTTTTTTTTTTTTTTTTTTTTTTGGTGGGGGTCTTTCTGAAACAGGGTCTCCCTGTAGCTCCTGCTGGCCTGGAACTCACTATGTAAACCAGGCTGGCCTTGAGCACTGAATATTTTTAAGCAGTGATTTTTATTCTTTGGCAATTATTCTGAAGGAGGGACAGTGGTAACATTGCTACTTCATCAATGCTTATGCCACGGCACACTAAATTTCATTCTTGGTAAATATGAAACTCTGTCTCTCTTTTATACTCATACCACCTTACCCAGATCTTACCTTCTTCTTCCCCCATAAAATGGAAAAATTCCCCTGCCCTCTCTGCCATTAACAAACACAGAAAAGTGTACAGCCTGATGCATGATCAGACCATGAGTATCACTTTCAAACCTTGAGCATCATGACCAAATTGTGAGCATCACAACAGCAGCACCACATTTTACCTTCTGGCTGGAATCAAGGCGATTTTCCTTTATCCTTTTCACAAAATCTTTGAAAAAGTTTGTTGACTGCTTTGGAAAAATGGACATATTTAGCATCTCATATATTGGAGTCAGGAATGGAAACACAACTACAAAGAAAAGAAAAAGAAAATAAAATGGAACGAAAATGTGGTGTTTTGTTTTTCCATTTTCATCTCTGTGTGTGGTATGTGTATGCATATTCACATGTGTGAACATACTTGTGTGTAGGTGCGTGCATGTGTACATGTATGTATGTAGAGGCATAAAGTTGACTTGAGAATAATTTTTAAAAATATTTTATTTTTTATTTTATTTTATCTGTATGCATGTATTGCTTGCATGTAGGTAAGTGCATCTGTGTTGTGCAATGCCCACAGAGGTCAGATGAGGCCGTTGGATCCCCTGGAACTGGCGTTAGGGACAGTTGTTAGCTCCTTGTGAGTGCTGGGATTTGAACCCGGGTCTTCTGCAAGAACAGTCAGTGTTCTTAACTGCTGAGCCATCTTTCCAGCCCCGAGAATCATTCTTGATTGCTCTTCTACCTTATTAATTGAAGCAAGGTCTTTCAATCAAACCCAGAACTCACTAATGTGTCTGGGCTCATCAGCTAACTTGCTTTGAGGAGCCCCTGTTTTTGCCTTCCAAGGCTGATGTTAAAGCGGGCTGCCATGCCCATCTAGCATTTATGTTTATTCTGAGGATCAGAATTCCAGTCCTCAGTCTTGTGTGGCAAGCACTTTAACCACAGAGCCATCTCCCCAGCGCCCCAGATGGAATTTTTCCCCTGGAATAATTACACTTTTCTGAAACAACAAGATTAAAATTCATCAGAATCTCTGTTGGGAGTCATTCCCTCTGTGACCTATGCTCTGGCTCTAAACCACAGGCTGAACAGTACATGTCACATATAGGGTCACCACCATGTAGTGGTTCCTCCTGTGGCACTGCAGTGACCAAAGGTGCAGGGTTAGTTATCTTTACTCTCAGCCTCTCATCTATTGGACTAGAGTCTTTGGTCCAAAACAGACCCTAGTCTTTTCCTGCAGCTAATTATGTTCTTCGGGAAAGAGCAGTCAGGATAGAAATAACACAGTGATGCTCCTCACCTACCTTGGTATGGAGCCAGAAATCAAGAATAGAAAGAAACTTTTCAGTTATGAGTTGGGAAGTCATAGGCCCTAGAGTAGAGCCTGCTATTGTTATTTTGCTCAATGGTCATGTTGTCAAATTGCCTTCTAAGTTTTCATGTTTATATCCATAGACCTGGGCTGCTCAACCTTGGTCAGAAAAGCATCTTTTTTTAGTGAGATGGGGGTGGGGGGAGTGCTGTGAGATGCTGTCTTTTGTCATGATATGATTGTTGCACTCATAAACTCACAGTAGCTGTATTTATCTGTACAAGATCTGCACAAGATCAAACTAGGCAAAATTCCAGCATGGATTAGGGGAGGGCTCATGAGGCCCCACTCCTGATGAACCACTGGTAGTTGATAACTGCTGGGGCTGCCCAAGGTTCAGTGGATGGCCCCACACCCATTGACATATAGATAGCATTAATTACACTTAATAGACTAATGTTTTTTGAGGCAGGGTCTCCCTGTAGCCCTAGTTGGCCTGGAACTTGCTATGTAGACTAGACTGGCCTTGATTTCACAGAGATCTGCCTGCCTCAACCTCCCAAGTGCTGGGATCAAAGGGGTGCACCACCACCATGCCTGGCTAGTAGGCTATGATAGTTTTAAAGAAGAGAACATGAAGTTGGGAGGGGGATGTGCTAGAGGAAACCTGGGGGGAGCTTGGGGGAAGAACTGCATGGGGATATAATTATATTTAACCTTTGACAGTATGAAATTCTCAAAGGATAACAGAAAAGCATGTTAAAAAGAACAGAAAGTAACTGGGGTGACCTCTAAAGAACTAAGGTACTAAAATAAAGAAAAACGGAAAATATGTTGAGACGAACATAGAATAACTTTTTTTTTGGTCTTTTTGAGACATGGTCTCCCTGTAGCCTCAGCTGTCCTGGACTCACTATGTAGACCAGGCTGGCCTTGAACTCACAGAGATCCGCCTTCCTCTGCCCCCCGAGTGCTGGGATTAAAGGCGTGCACCACCACACCCAGCAGAATAACTTTAAAAAAAGAAGAAATTTTGAGCTGGGTGTGGTAGTTCATACTGGGAGGTGCAAGCAGGGGGATTATCTTGAGTTTGAGGCCAGCCTGGGCTACATAGTGAGTTTCAGGTCAGTTTGAGTGAGCTACAGTGTGAGATCTTGTCTTCTAAACAAAAATAAATTCTGTTACAATGAATATAACACGAAGATGCAAATGCCAAACTTGTGATATGAAGAAAAAGCTGTAGTTAGATGGAGATTTAGAGCCAGCTTTAAAATTTTTTTATTTATTTATTACTGTTATTTTATACATATTGCCTGCATGCATGTAAGTGCACCTGTGTTGTGCAGTGCCTGCAGAGGCCAGAAGGGGATGTCAGATCCCCTGGAACTGGACTTATGGACAATTATTAGCTGCCATGTGGGTGCTGGGAACTTAACCCAGGTCCTCTGTAAGAGCAGCCAGTGCTGTTAACTGCGGAGTTATCTCTCTAGCCCCTCCAATCTTAAAAAGAAAAATCTCGAATAATCAAACTTTGCACTATAAATCACCAAAATAGAGCAAACTGAACCTAAAACAAACAGAAGGAAGAAATGAATACAGACTAAAGTAGAAACTAAGGAAACAAGCAATCAAAACACCATGGAAAAACCAATAAGATGCAAAGCTGATTCTTTGAAATTATCATAGCAAATCTTCACATAAATTCAAGAGAAAAAGAGAATATGCTAAAATTGCTGCTATCAACATTGAGAGATAGGAAATAACTACTGACACTGAAGAAATGAAAAGGACTATAAAATAATTCTATGAACAATTATATCACTAAAACAATTGTGCAAATGAAAAAAAATTGACAAAATGGACAAGTTTCCAGAGAATCAACAAATTCAGAACATGACTTAAAAAGGAATGGAAGGGCCGGGCGTGGTGGCACACACCTTTAATCCCAGCACTCAGGAGGCAGAGGCAGGTGGATCTCTGTGAGTTCAAGGCCAGTCTGGTCTACATAGTGAGTTCCAGGACAGCTGGGACTACAGTACAGGGAGACCCTGTCGCAAAAAGACCAAAAAAAAAAAAAAAAAAAAAAAGGAATGGTGAGATGGCTCAGTGGTAAAGGAGCTTGCTTCACAAACCTGGTGACCTGAGTTTGATTTCTGGAACCCACATAAAGGTAGACAGAGAGAATCAACTTCATAGATTTGTCCTCTCATCTCTGTATATGTGCTGTGCCTGCATGACTTCCTCCACATCATATGCACACATATAGGAATAATAAATAAAATTAAAAGGAAGAAATACAAAATATGGTCAGATTTATAACACACAAAGACCATGAACTTGTAATCAAACATGATCCATAAAGAAAAGCTCCATTCTAGAAGTTTTTTCTTTTTGATTACATGTGTGTATGCTGCATGTGCATGGGTACATGTATGTATGCAGGAAAAAGTATCTCAGGTCCAAGGACTATAAAAAGTAATGTTTTGAAAATGGAGGTATTATCCAAGTTGATCTATAGGTGAAACAGTCTGTGTGTCAGAATACTATTGGGCAACTTTGTAGAAATTGGTCAGTGGGGGCTGGAGAGATGGCTCAGTGGTTAAGAGCACTGGCTGCTCTGGCAGAGGACCTGGGTTCGGTTTCCAGCACCCACACGGCAACTAACAACCATCTATAACTCCAGTTCCAGGGAATCCAGTGCTCTAGTCTGGCCTCCTCGGGCATTGCATGACAAGGGTTTATGTATATATATGTAGGCTATACACTCACACACATAAAAAAGCAAAAACTGGCCAATTGTTTTTAAAGTTCACACAGAATGTCAAGGGATCCACAATATCTAAAGCAATCATGAAAGAAGAATAAATAGGACTTACATGTCTTCTTTTTTTTTTCTTTATTTCTTTTAAGACAGGGTCTCCTTGTGGCCCCAGCTGACCTGGAACCCACTTTATAGACTAGGCTGGCCTCAAACTCACAGAAATTCACCTGCTGTTCCTCCGAAGTGCTGGGATTAAAGGCATGTGCCAGCATGCCTGGCCTGACTTATCCTTCTTAATTTCAAAGCTTACTAGGAATCTACAATATCGAGGCCCTCTAGTACTGACATGATGATTGACAGATAGTTCAGTGGAACAGTGTTTAAACTGTAGAAAGAAACCCATGTGTGTACGGTCTAATGAAATTTGAGAGAATTGCTATGACAATTGACTATAGGAAAAAATTAACCCTTTTAACAAATGATGCTGAGAGACCTGCTTAAGTACTGTCAAATAATAAAGAGAGACCCCTACCTCACACTACATACAATATTAACTAAAAGTGGGTCAAATACATAAAGATCATAACTGCCTAACCAAGGTGAAGATTATTTGACAGTGGAGTCTTACACCTTAATTCAAAAACACATGGGTTGGAGAGATGGTTTAGTGGTTAAGAAAACTTGCTGCTTTTGCAGAAAACTGAAGTTCAGTTCCGAGTGCCCACATCAGGCAGCTCACAACTGCCTGGAACTCCAGCCCCAGGGAATCTTATGCCGTGGTCTGGCCTCCATGGGCACCTGCACACACAATCATATACATACAGAAAAATAAAATAAATCTTAAATAAGAACACAAGGAATGAAAAACCCACATAAATTATACATCATATAATTAAAACTTTTATACTTTGATGGACACTATTAAGAAAACGAAAATATGCCGAACAGTAGGAGAAAATTCTGCAAGTCATATGTCTGGTAAGGTAATCGTATTCAGGATACACAAATAAATCTTTACAACTCAGTGACAAAACCAAGCAATTCAGCTTGAAGAGCGGTCAGACATCTAATCTGACATCTTTATCTAATGAAGAGCATAAAATTCCAAAACTTCAGAGTACCATAGAAGGAGAAAAAAGCGAATTGAACCACAGTGCTAGCTCCCTAAATGTGCCTTTAGGTGGCAATAATAAAAATCATGAAAAACCCCCTCAAGTTTTGGATGGGAGGTAGAGAAAATGGAACCTTCATGAACTTCTGGCAGGAAAATAAAATGCTGTAACTACTGTCAGAATATATTTCTTAGTTCCTCAGTAAGTCAAACATAGAATTTCACTATAATTCAGTAGACATTCATCCATGAAATACCAAGTGTCCATTCAGAAAACACAAAAACAATCTTTTAAAAAATACTTTATTACTATTACTATTTTGTCTTTTTGAGACAGGGCCTCTCTGTAGCCCCAGCTGTCCTGGAACTCACTAGGTAGACCAGGCTGGCCTTGAACTCACAGTGATCCACCTGCCTCTGCCTCCCGAGTGCTGGGACAAGTATGTGCCACCACACCTGGTTCAAAAAATACATTATTTTTATTTTACGTATATGAGTATATTCCCTGCATGCAGGTAAGTGCGCCAGTGTTATGCAGTGCATCGGATCCCTTGGAACCGGGGTTACAGATGGTTGTTAACCACCATGTGGGTGTTGGGTACCAAAACCAGGTCCTCTGCAAGAGCAGTCAGTTAACTGCTGAGCCCTCCCACCAGTCCCTCAATCACAATCTTGCATGCAAATGCTAATGACAGCAGTATTCTTTTTTTTTTTTTTTTTTTTTTTTTTTTTTTTTTTGTTTTTGAGACAGGGTCTCCATGTAGTCCCAACTGGCCTAGAACTTGCTATGGAGACTGGGCTGGCCTTGAACTCATAGAGATCAGCCTGCCTCTGCCTCCTGAGTACTGGGCTTAAAGGCATGCGCTACCGTGCCCAGCAACAGCACTATTCTTAATACCCCAAATTTGAAACTAAGCTGAATGTCTATCAAATGAACAGATTGTCTACAGAACGTGGAGCAATGATAAATGTTCCAGTTTAAGCATAGTGCTAGGTGAAAGAAAACAGTCACCAAATTCCACACTAACTACGATATATTTATGTTATAGCTCTAGAGTGTACCCAGCATAGGCAAATCTACAGGATCAGAAAGTGATTCTTATGGCAAGGAGGATTGGGAGACAAGAATGAAAGATGAAATTTTCTTGGAAAAAATGCCCCCTAATTGGCAATGGTGATGGGTGCATGTACCTTTGATACACAAAAATTGAAGTACACATTTTAAGCAGGTGCATTTTTTTTTACATGTGAATTGTATTTCAATGACGGTGTTACTTTGCCTGCAGTATGGGAGGGAGGAAGAGAAAGACAGAAGAAATAGTCTACATACGGACAGAGAGAAGAAACGGCTCGAAGCGACGAAATTTTAAAATCTTCCTAGCATTTTGCACAAAAGGATCCTGGGGGTTGTTGAGAGAATCGATGTTGACTCCAAACGATGTGCCAGTGATCACATCCATGCTGTAGGCCCCAAAAATCCTGAGGAGAGAGGTATGAGAATTAACATCTCTTCCCAGTGTTCTGAAACAGGCTCAGCAAGGAGGGTGTGGCAGCTCAGGCAGCCTAGCAGCTCTGACAGAGAGACCCAAGTCGGAACTCCCTGCTGGACCATCAGCTGGGTGTGGGCTCCTGTCACACTAATCCCGAGGTCTTCGTCTGGTGTCAATGTTGCCTGTGTCCTGTCCCTCAGGTTGAGGGGGGCACTAAGGTGCTCGCAGTCCCAGCAGCCTCTTTCCCACTTACTCTTTTGTGTTGATGGACTTCCCTTTCTCTTCTTCTCGTCTCAAGTTTTTCACCAACACATCTCCATACCGCTTCACAATGGGGAACATCTAGGCAGAAAGCATCAGTAGCAACGTGGAAACTCAAGCCCCAGCAAGACAAAACATTCCCACTCACGAAGCAATAAGTGGCATATTATAATGATTCCCTTTTATGGTCTTTTTGAGTCAGGGTCTCTCTGTATCCCCAGCTGTTCTGGAACTTGCTATGTAGACCAGGCTGGCCTTGAACTCACAGAGATCCACTTGTCCCTGCCTCCCAAGTGTTGGGATCACATGTGTGTGCCACCATGGCTAGCTATGTTACAATGACTTTGAAAAATATTGTATTTATTATTTCTATTTTATGTGTATGAGTGTATTGCCTGTATGTGTGTAAGTGCCCCCGTGTCATGCAATGACCGAGGAGGTCAGAAAAGAGGGCATTGGACCTGGGACTAGAATTATGGATGGTTGTTAGCCACCATGTGGGTGCTGGAAATCGAACCTGGTTCCTCTGCAAGAGCAGTCAGTGCTCTTAGCCACTAAGCCAACTCTCCAGCCCTTATAATGATGTTTTTTTTAAAAAAATCTGGTTTTATTGAAATTTTGTGTATTTCATACAGAACATCTCAATCAATTTTAGTCATCTTTATACCCCTGTCCTCACTGGAACCCTCCCATAGCCCCCCAGCTGGAGCCCATACACTCTGACATCCCTGTTAAGGCCTACTGTGTCAAGTCAGTGTCCCCAGATGTTCCTCAGTACAAGTCCATTCACTGAGGTCTGGTCAGCCTATGTAGAGTCCCTTGTTTTAGGAAGATCCCTGGAACTGGAGTTATGGATGGTTGTTAGCCACCATGTGGGTGCTAGAAATTGAACCTCTGCAATAGTAGTCAATGCTCTTAACCACTGAGCCAACTCTCCAGCTCCTATAATGACTTTTATAATAGGTCCTCTGGGCATAAAGAAAAAAAGTCATTTTATAAAAATTGCAGCTCAGAGGATTAACCCTTGGAAAGGGACTATGAGTTATCTTCTGCCTGCCTGCAGAGTCATTCCTTTAAGTTTCCAATCAAACATCCTCTCTATTATAATCACCTCTTTGAGTTTTCCACTGGTGAAGGTTGGCGAGAGCAAGGTTCTTATTCTCTTCCATTCTTCATCCTCAGCTATGGTGATGGCCTTCTTCATAAATCCCACTGGACCAAATGGCTAGTGTCCAAACCAAAAGACAAGTTATCCTATGAGAGTTATGATGATTTTCACTATTGTAGAAAATTTACTAAACAATTATCATTTGCTTAACAAATATTACTATTAACTGGCAGAAGCTTACTAGATGGTTAACAATCTGTTATTGAAAATGCCTTGTAATCTATATCAGTGGAGGTGGCACCGATCTACCTGGCATGGCTTCAAATCTTTATTTATTTTTTGGTGTTTTTGAGACAGGGTCTCCCTGTAGCCCCAGCTGGGCTAGAACTCAGTATGTAGACCAGGTTGGCCTTGAACTCCCAGATATTCGCCTGCCTCTGCCTCCCAAGTGCTGGGATTAAAGGTGTGTGCCACCACGCTCGGCTTCAAATCTTTATTTTTAAAAAATTTTGTGTATTTTTATTTTATGTGTACGAGTGTTTTGCCTGGATGTATATAAGTGAACGTGTGCATGCAATGACCACAGAGACTAGACAAGGTCTCAGATCCTCTGGAACTGGAGTTATGGATGATTATCAGCTGCCATGTGGGTGCCGGGAACTGAACCCAGGTCCTCTGCAAGAGCAGCCAGTGCTGTTAACCACTGAGTCATGTTTCCAGCCTTAGCTTTAAATTTTTATATATTAATGTCTCATTTTAAATGAAAATCCTTCTTTTAGAGGAGGATTTTCTATTCTATAAGACTATACAGGATAGCTCTACAGCATCCTTCAAGACCATGCAGAGGAAAAATGGATTAGTGATAGACATCAATGGCGTTGTTAAACTGTTACCTTGAACAAATTCTGCATGTACATCTATCAAAAGCAGGAGCAGCTAAAGACAAGTAAGCTCTGAAGTGAAGCTTTTAAAAAAAAACTATGGATGTTGTAAATGATTAAATATTTGGTAGTTTCAAGAAATAATGCAATTATAAAGAAATCCTTATATCTTAATTCTTTATTCTGGGACACAATGAAAAAGAATCATATTTCTTTTTCTTTGCAAGGAATATTTGTTGATCTTTCACAAATACATGACATATATACATACATGTGGGTACACATGCAGACATGCACATGAAATATAATTAAAAGATCTTAAACAGCCTCCATTCAGCTTCACACTTATGAAAGCCTGAACGTTTCACCCTCCAGTCAGGATTAATTAAAAAATCTGCTCTCACCTGTCTTAGTCAATGTCTTCCTAGGAGAACTAGCCAGTACACTAAGGCAAGAAAATGAAATAGAAGGTAGATTGCAAAGTAATGAACAGAAATACTCTTTTTTTCTTTTTCTTTTATGTGTATTCATGTATTGCCTGCATGTAGGTAAGTGCACCTGTGTTGTGCAATGCCTGTAGAGGACAGAAGAGGCTGTCAGATCCTCTGGAACTGGAGTTACAGACAGTTGTTAGCTGCCATGTGGGTGCTGGGATTCGAACCCATTGATAGGACTAGTAAGTGAGTTTGTCAAAGTTTCAGGGAACAGTGGTAACACAAAATTCAATTGCATTTGCATATAATAGCAACAATAGGTGAAAAATATCAAGAATATTATGTAACAGTCAAGCATGTCTAGAAATGATATATGTTAAGTATAAGATCTAACAAAATATGTGCAGGTCCTTCAGCTGAAATCTATACATTTCTGATGCAATCAAAGGCAGAGACACAAAGTATTCATGGATTAGAATATTCCACACAGACAATGAATCTTGATGCTATAGTTACCTATGTGCCATTTTGAAATCTCATCGAAACCTCACTGAGATCTTCCTAAATATAGACAAACTTATTCTGAATTTGGATAGAAAGGCAAAGGGTTAAGAACAGTTCAAACAATTGTACAAAAATGTGAGAGGATGAGTCCATATGAAGTTAAATCTCAATTGTCAGGAGGATGCAATTCTAGAGAGAGACACAGGGATAAAAGAAATAGAATAGAGTGAGGGTTCCACATCAATAGACCCAGTAGGTTTTGACAGTGCCGCAAGAGGGATTTTACAAAGTGAACAGCTTTCCCCAAATGGCACTGGAACAACCGGGCTTGTGTAGAACAATGCAAATCTTTCCCGAACCTTTTTGTCTTGTTCAAAAAAGGACAAATATATCATAAATAGAAATGTAAAGTATAAAACTACATATTTCTATTGTTTTTTAAAAAAGTACAAGAGTGCTAGGCAAGGCTAAGAATGTAGCTCAGTTGGTGAAGTCCTTGCCTGGCATGCCCAAAGCCCTGGGTTTGATTTTCATCACTGCATAAACTGGGTGTGGTGGTACATGCCTATAATCCAAGCACATGAGAGGTCGAGGCAGGGATTCACAAGACCCTGTACAATCCAAAACAGAATCAAAACAAAAAAAAACAAGAAAGAGTTGTGGCAAAATATTGTCAGACTTGACTCCAAAAGCAAATCCATAAAATGAAAAATGGATCAGACCCTGTTAGAAAGAAAAAACAGGCTACCATGGTGACTGCAACACACTTGCAAGAGGTAAAGGGACAGTCATGTGTCTTGATGTACAGTGACCACAGAAATTTAGATATGTGACAAGCAGCAGAGAGCTACACACATACATACACACATACACACACGAGGGCAGGTAAACAGAGGAAATGTAAATAAACAGTGTCAATTTGAACCAACATGGCAACTTACAACTGCCTGTAACTCCAGTTTCAGGGGATTCCACATCTCCTTCTGGCCTCTGCAGGCACAGCACAGGTGGTGCACATACACATACAGAGACACACAGGTATCACATAAATAAAAAGCATATTAACAAGTATCAAAACTTACCTGAGTATGCTTGTCATGTTTTAATATGAGTGTACTAAATTAATTAAAATTTAATGAATGATAAAGATTTATATTTCTTCAAAATGGATGCCTACCCGCCTGTTTGTGAAGGTAGAATAACATTCTTTCACCAGCACTGCTTTGATCATCTCTGGATCCGTGATAGCCATGAGAGGCAGTGGGCCATCATAAATCCTGGTGGGAAAACAGAGTGGATTGAACCTAAGAAATCAGATTCTGCAGCTGGAGCCACACCGAGGAATCCGGACTTTGATCCCAAGTTCACACGAGTCACACCTGCAGTGGTACAATGCACAGCAACATATGTTCCTAGTTCAAGTATGGTATTCTGACTATAGAAGCCACCAAAGCCTCAGGAAATGAATGATGAAGCTGACACAGGGAAGAGACACATGGATAAAACATCTCTTGAAAGACTTCATATTTAGCATTAACACTGGATATAGAGGGGCAAAGGGGAATAATGGACTAGGAAGGGTTAAATGGTGTGGGGGATGGGAGAGAGGGCAGAGAGAATGGGAGGGGATAACTAATTCTAAAGGACTTTTGAAAAAGTCATATGGGTCTCCTCCTGTGAACCTGGGTCTGTGGTCCCCTCCCATGAACCTGGATCTTTGCCCCTCCTGTGAGCTGGAGCTGTAGTCCCCTCCCATGAGCCAGAGTTACAGTTCCCTCCTTTGAGCTGCCCTGAGGCAGAGCTGAGGCCCCTTTTGTGAGCTGGAGCTGTGGTCCTCTCCTATGAACCTGGAGTTGTGGCCCCCTCCCATGAGCCTGGAGCTTTGCTTCCTAACCATGAGCCACAGTTCCACATTCCTCTGATGGTAGGATGATGGCAGAGCAGAGTGGAGGATGAGGGACTTCCCAATATTGAGCAGCAGTTTCTGGACACGTCTCCAAAGGCTTTACAATTGGAGAGATGCATCCCAAGAACTCTGGTCTGGCTTGGAATTCGTGTGTATATGGGGTACATCGTTCTAACAAGTGTATTCCATAGAGGTTTCCAGAATACTCACCCCCATATTTTCCCATACTTTTTATAGCATTCTTCATCAAATTTCCATACCCCCTGGGAAAAGAAATAAAATAAAATCTGTTATTGTCCTACATGTATTGACCTGTCTCTATCAGGAGCACAAATGACTCAAATCCAACAAAATTGGGCTTACTGTCTGTCCCAGTACTTACCGGCAATTTTTTATTTAGAGGCATCTGAAGGGACAGGAGAGCGTGGGGTTATTTGAAATAGAGAATTTAAGGCTGCCTCTGAATTCTCTCAGAGTACTGTACATATTGAAGGGATTTTCTTTATCCATGAACTAAGCAACTGTGTGTATGAAGTGATTTTGAGTGAGTGTGTTGTCTTTGAAATCCTGGAACACTCTGAACTATTCCGTCTGCAAGCATGTGAAGAATCCTCATATACTCCTTCTGGCCCAGACTTCATGTCCATTTCCACTGAGCAGGCTTCAACCGGTCAGTGGAGGCTTCACTTAGACTTCAGGCCTGCAGTGAACTTCGAAATGTAAAACTAAGAATCTGACCAACAACTGGAGTCTTTGGGAAAGGAGATCCCACAGAGAGCAGCCTGCACAAGGGTCTGTTGATAGCTTTCAGGAGCTGAGCTCATTAATTTTGAGCCATGCATCAGCCTTGGGCCAGGAATCAGACCAGACTAGCCAGAAGGAATCAGCCAAAATTCACATCCACTGTTACATATATGTCATACATTCAGTGGCACTAATTTTTTGACAATTGTTGCTAAATCATACTTCTGTGGTGATTTTAGAGTGATTCTACCATTGTTTAGAAACATTTTATGTTAGAAACATTTATGTTGTAGTATCTGAAGATGATGATAGACAAGTACCACACTGTCTTAGCCATAGTCACTCCCTGCTCAGAGTCACCCACAGATGTTGCCTTTGAGGAAAACAATGCAGAACACTGTTAGTCTGTCAAACACTCAAAGATGCCACATGTAGTAAAAGATGAGGCAGAGCCATTGAAACAACTGTAGGGGAATTAAGAAATCCTGAAGGAGTTCAGGTATATGAAAATTCTCCAAAGGTAAACACACAGGCAACCTGGTAAACTCACTCTTCAGAGCTGTCCAGTAGGGAGACAAAAATGCTAGTCCTGAGTTCTGGTGTGAATAAGAAAGTTTGAATCTAGTGCACACAGGCTGGTGAGGTGCTACCGTGGGACCCAGTTGTGCTTTCCCACAAAAGCTACTTATTTATTTACTCTCTCTCTTTCTCTCTGTGCATGTGCATGCAGTCAGCACATGTGTGAAGGTCAGAGGACAACTTCTGGGAGCTGACTTTCTCGCCAGACTTAGAAGCAGGTGCACTGAGCCATCTCACTGGCTCCACAAGACAACTCTACCTTCCTTCAGTCTCTACTAGATAGATAGATAGATAGACAGACAGGGAGGCAGACAAACAATTCTTTTGATGCCTACAAAGTCTGAGCATCATGTCCTGAGCATCAAAATCTAATGTGTCAGTGATTAAGGGTTTTTAACCAGAACCAGCTGGAAGCTCCTAACAGTTGCTAATAACCATAAGAAGAAAAGAGAGCTCAAACACTACTCACATCACTGTAGGCGAAAGAATTGCCAATGAAGGGCATAGGTTTAGGCCCAGGAATTCCGAGTTTCTTAAAAACCCCATGTGAATAGGTCCCATATCTGTAAAGTAAAAGAGAAAGCAACGTTGCAGGGTCTGTGATTTTTATACATATGGGCATCTGCCAGTCATTGACTAGGGAATTGCAAGAATCAAGTCAGGGAGGTAACATCTGAGCAATGGATAACAGCAAAAACCGAAACAGCAACACAGTCACTCACCATCTTCCTTCCGATGTCCACTGAGAAGACCTGCCATAATTCACAGTGATTGGATGAAAACAGCTGAAGCTTTAATGCTCCCATTCCTAGAGTAAGTCGTTTGATAAAAGCCCCCAAACTTGAGTTTGAGTGTTTCTGAGAGATTAACACTGGAGGTTTTCCAGGCATTTTATCTGCTCATGTTCATTTAGGAAACCAACTCTTCTACTGAGTGGAGATTCTCATTAAGTATGTGGGAGAAATTTTATTTACATATTTGATTGTACTTAATGACACAGGACCACAACAGAGCTTATCTAATATTATTCTTACATGTTGGTCAGAGCCTCTTATGCTCTTCCTTTTCTATAAGCCATGAGCTTGTTAGAGAATCTAACTATTCTGAAAATTGCCTTTCCAGAAAGACCTGGGAGCCATCATGAAGTTCTTATGTTCCTAGAATGCCAATGAGTTCACGACCTCCATTGGCTTTAGATAAATTTCAGAGACACCCAAGCCTCTCTGTCAGACAATATTGTTGACATGCTGTAGGGAAGAATGATTTCCAATATGTGTCCTTAATGACTCTGTGCGGAAGAAAGAATGACTAAGGCCTCATTTGTAGTCCATTCTTCTCAGTTGATCTGAACCTTCACCTGGTGATGTTTATCTGATAATCACAATGTGAGCCAGGTTCTTATTTTTCAAGATGGTCAGTGTTCTAGCTTGTTTCTCCATTGCTGTGACAAAACACTCTGACTACTACCAACTTGGGGAAGAAAGGTTTTATTTGTCTTATATCTCTTAGGTCACAGTTAATCAGAGAGCCCAAGATAGGAACTCAGGGCAGGAACATGGAAGCAGGAGCACCGGAGCTGGTCATGAAGGAACAGTGCTTACTGACTTGCTCCCCTGGCCCCTACTCAACCTGCTTTCTTACATAACATAGGCCCACTTGCCTAGGGGTGGCACCACCCACAGTGGACTGGGCTCTCCCACATCACTCAATCAAGAAGATGCCCCACAGACATGGCCACAGGTCAGTCCAATGGAGGCAATTCACCAACTGAAGCTCCCTCAACCGAGGTGTGCCAAGTTGACACTAAAGCTATTCAGCACAGCCAGTCATAAAGCAATTAGTTTATTGCCTGTGTGCATCAACTGTATGTGCAAAAATTCAGTATGGAAGGTGTGACCCGGAAGTTCCTCTGACCCTACGACAAGTAATAGTCCTACCTCCTTCCCACGCTCTGTGGAAGGAGTCAAGCCCATTACCTCTCCCACCCAATTGGTTGACCTTAGCTGCATGAAGGGGAGGGGCTATGGATACATAAGCCGAGAAAACTAGGAGGCTGGGCTGTCTTTTTCTGTTAACAACAGACAAACACACAAACAACAGATAGTGTTAAGTGGATTCTCCATACTGCTAGATGAAAGACTGAGTTTCAAGAAGGAACCAGTGTTCCAGAGGAGGGTTATAGAAAAGAGAGTAGACACTGACCCCTCCCATCATGCCTGGAATATATTGTGGAACTTGGTGTAAATCAGGTTGGAGGACGGGAGAAAGGGGAGCAAGAAACATTGGCATCCACAGGGCACAAGCCTTACACACATCTCTTAGTGCCGATAAAAGAGAAGTCAAAGATAATGAGAAAAACGTCTGCACAACTTGGCTAGTCTCAGATTTTCCAAAGCTTGGGGTGCCATGGTAGCTGTTCTACTGTCATTTTGATCACTGTGACCAAACTCCCTGACAAGATGTGACTTAGGAGAGTTTATTTGATTTATGATTCCAGGTTACAGTCCCTCATTTCAGAGAAGTCAAGGCAGGAACTCTCATATCCATGCCTAGAGCAAAGACAGAACAATTGCATACTTGCTTGCTTTCATTTTACTTTCTCCTGTCTTATGTAGTTACAGACCTACTGTTTAGGGAATGATGTCACCCACAATGGGCTGGATCTTCCTATATCAATTAGAATTCAAGACAGTTCCCCACAGACATGCCACAGGCCAACATGATCTAGACAGTTTCTCAGTTTAAACTCTCTTCCCAGGTGCTTCTAGCTGTGACAAGTTGACAGTTAAAAATTGACCAGCACAGTGGGATTGCAAACTTATGCAACCTCTATGGAAACCTCTATGCAAATTTGTGCAACCTCTCTCTGTGGAGAACTCTTAAAAAACTAAAACTGCCAGGTGTGGTGGCACATGCCTTTAATCCCAGCACTTGGGAGGCAGAGGCAAGCGGATCTCTGTGAGTTCAAGGCCAGCCTGTTCTACATAGTGAGTTTCAGGACAGCTGGAGCTACAGGGAGACCCTGTCTCAAAAAGACCAAAAAAAAAAAAAACAAAAAAAAAAACCAAACCAAAAAACAAAACAAAAAAACCCCCTAAAACTGAACCTATCATATGACCCAGTTATACCACTCCTTGGCATATACCCAAAGGACTCATCCTATTGTAGAAACACTTGTACAACCATGTTTGTTGCTGCTCTTTTCATAATAGCTAAGAGGTGGAAGCAACTTAAGTGCCCCTCAGCTGATGAGTGGTTAAAAAAATGTGGTATATTTACACAATGGAGTTCTATTCAGCAGTAAAGAAAGATGAAATAAAGAAATTTTCAGGTAAATGGATGGATCCTGAAACTGTTATACTAAGTGAAGTAACACAGACTCAGAAAAACAAAGGACGTTTGTTCTCCCTCGTATGTGGATCCTAGCACCAAGCCTTTTAAATTCCAGGTCCTTTTAATAAGATGATGCTAGACAGCAGTCCCTTCTGCATGAAATAACTACCATTATCATGACTTCAGCTGAGACTGATTGTTAAACATAGTCACAATTGGGCTTGATGACAGTTATGCTCATTCATTAAAGGAGGGCCAAGCAGGGTCATTGGACCCTTACTGGAGTCTCCAGCCACTGTTCCCAGCCAACTGTATGTAATTTGATCCTAATAACACATAGCCTCCTGGATTTGGAGAGGGCTAAAGTATACAATCTGCAGAGGCTAGGAAGAGAAAGCATGACTCATGCTGGGTAAAGGCTATCCACTGTGCAAACCCTCAGGTCATACACATACCTCAGCAACTGCTCAGTTATCTCGGTGAGTAAGCTCAATAAATTCATTGGCTCCCCAGTAAAACTTTAATGAAATGTTGGCTTGACACTAGAATCTTAAAAGGGAATAAGCATTGCTTAGCATCCCCAGGAAAAGAAGTTTCACAACTGATGGAAAATTTATTTGTTAGTGTTATTATGTCTCATAATTATTTAAAAAATGAGAATGTAAAAGATGTTAAAAGGATATGGGAATGGAGATATTTTCCAAAATAGAAAAAATGAGAAAGCCTAAACAAGTGATGAAGGTCTGTTTAGGTTTGTTATGATATATAAAGGATAAGACAAAAATAATATACACATAATCTTAATAATTCTATGATCACAGTTTAGTCAACTAGTTTAAGGAACAAAATATATATCTAGTCAATGTTTATCTGAGAATATTTGGTTTTTTACCCAAGCCTTATCTACATAGCACAGGATAATTAAAATTACCAGACTGGTGGACCTAACCTTATTGGATGTTTAACAGCCATACTTTAAGGTCTATACTAATCTGGTCAGAGGGACTTAAAGGACAGTTTTTTGCCCCTTGCCCTCAAAGATCAACCAGTGCCAGGGGACGATGGAACACCTCTCAAAATGTCCTGTAACTGTGATGAGCCACCTGTCCTCTTGTTCAGGTAGGATATGGAGACCCCACGAGATGGACCAGAACCAGTGTCCAGTCTAGAAAGAAGAGGGTCAACTTAGAGGAAACATCTCATTCATGCTCCCAAATGAAGCCAGATGTGGTTGAACAGGACCTTTGACTTATCTTCACATAGATGGAACTGGTAAAAGAAAGGAGCCAGGAGCTCCTCCCAAGCCCATGTGACCCCTGAGGAACAGATCCTCAAATGACCTTAAGTGTAACAATAAATTGATTTATTTGGGCCAACTGTATGGTCTTAAACAACCAAAGGAAAGTGTGCTGGATAACTTTAGTGTCAACTTGACACACCTGGGTTGAGGGAGCCTCAGTTGGGTAATTGCCTCTATTGGACTGGCCTATGGCCATGTCTGAGGGCATCTTCTTGATGAGTGATGTAGGAGGGCCCAGCTCACTGTGGGTGGTGCCCCCGCAGGGCAGGTGAGCTGGTTTTGCATAAGAAAGCAGGCTGAGCAGGGGCCAGGGGAGCAAGCCAGTAAGCAGCATTCCTCCATGGCCTGTGCTCCAGCTCCTGCCTCCAGGTTCCTGCCCTGAGTTCCTACCTTGGGCTCCCTGATGAACTGTGACCTGGGATATGTAAGCTAAATAAACCCTTTCCTCCCCAAGTTGGTATTGGTCAGAGTATTTTGTCACAGCAAAGAAGAACAAACTAGGACAGAAATTGGTACCGAGAGTGGGGAATTGCTGTGACAGACCTGACCTTGGTGTTTTTGGGAAGACTGTGGAAGTGTTTGGAACTTTGGGCTGGAAAAGCCATTGCGTGTTCAGAGTTTGTTGCAGTGGAGCTTGGAATAGTTGCGCTGAAAGGGTTGTAGATGATGGAGGCCTGGCTTGTGAAGCTTCAAAGGGAAACAGAGACTATCAGGGCTGTTCGTGTGAGATTTTGGATTGAGAATCTGTGGGTTCTGGTCGGCTGGGGCTGAAGAATAAGCTGTGATTAAGAAGAGCCGGAAGACATCAGAAGATGGAAGGACCTTCCATGCTCGTGGATTAGAAGAATTAATATTGTGAAAATGACAATCCTATCAAAAACCATTTATAGATTCAATGTAATGCCAATCAAAATCCCCATGGCATTCTTC